TAAGGTTGAGGGTTTGAGGTTAAGGGTTGAAGGTTGAGGGTTTAGGGTTTGGGGTGTTGGGGTTCTCCGAAAAGGATGGCTGGGGTCACTGGAATGTATATAAATATATACATATATATATAGGTACATATACGGTACTGAAAGTGGATATAGGGGTCTTAGGCTACAACTTGAATACTGCACCCACCCAGTAACAGTTGGATAATGTTCAGAATATGAGTATACAAGCCAAGCTACAAGGTAAGGTCTCTGATTAAAAAGTTGCTTCTGGAAATCAGCATGCAAGCTGTGTCTATATACGGGTCCCTAAACCCTAAACCTCTAAACCCTAAACCCCAAACCCTAAATCGTTTATTGGGATTGCACTGTAGGAGATTAAATGACCAGAGCAGGGCTTTGGTTCCTAAACAAACCTTAAACCTTAAATCCTAAACCTAAACCTGAAACTCTGAACCCTCACAACATACGTGCTTCGGGCTTCAAGCACTTTGCTTTCCCCAGAAAACTTAAAAAAATGCCGCTGAAAAGCAAGAAGATGAAGCCCCCACACCCTTGGACCACCCTTGGACCACCCTTGGACCCGCCAGGGATTCAGCCCTAAACCTTGAACCCAAGGGCTTCCCAAAGCACTTGGAACCCCGCGGGTGAGGACACTGTCTGACAGTGCAGCAAATTGGAGAAAAAGCTTCAGGCATTGCCTTGCTCAGGGTTTAGGGGTTTAGGGGTTTAGGGTTTAGGGGTTTAGGGTTTAGGGGTTTAGGGTTTAGGCTAAAGGGTCCGTGCCCCATGGTTCCCAAGGGACCGTATGCAAACTAACCAACCGCGCTCGTCATCACATAGTCCCTCATTTGATTATGAATGTCCCAGTCCATGTTGTGTTGTTACTTGTTTCCTGAACTGCCCGACTCACGGCCAAGCAACCTACGACCGGTCAATGCTCCTTCTCTAAGTGGAACCTCACAAGGGCTTCGTTTGCAAGGATGCTGGCCTTCTACCTTTTGCAGGCCTGTGTTCCAATGGGAGGGGATACTATACGGGCCTCCAATTTTTCAACTTTTGCTTAATACATTCCTAAGAACAACCAAAAAATTAAACATCAGTGGGGTTCTTTGGCCGGTTTAGGAGAGTTGTTCAAAGCAGCCGGAGGATGCCAAGTACTTGCTGATTGCGGCCGGCGGCGCGGTGGCCCTCGCTGGAGTCATTGTTGGGAGCCCTGGAGTCCCCAAGGGTCAAAGTTGATTAGCTGTATACTTGCTGTTATATTGACGCCCGAAAACGGTAGTCTCCTTAGGAATTATTCTTTACAGCAAAATCCCAAGGAATAATTTGCAAAATATTTTATTATGGGTCTAGAAGGAGACGAAAGAAACAGAATAGGAACTACGTTAGGCCTCCACCCAGTACTATTCATCGTCGTAGTGGTATATCAGGCTTATACAAGGACCCTGACATGATTGTCAGTGTCCGTTACTGTAAGGTCACTATTAGCGCGTGGGCCAACCTGAAATGTGAAGCTCTGATTCTCCAATAGTATCCTGAAGTGGAACCGGACAAGAGGACAGTCGTCTTAATCCGGCACATTTCAGGATTCCATGCAATCCCCTCCCAATATTCACAAGGGAGGCGCGGGGTGTCTTTCCTGTCTTTGGAGCAGGGAAGTCAGGTCTCGGATATCTACGACTTCCGTCATCTTTTGCAACCCTAGAGAAGCCAAATAGCCCAAAGTAGGTAACATGCATCGAATTTAAAGCCCAAAGGAGCTGTCATTTACAGACTTAGATCGCCAGGGAAGCAGCTATGCGCGTGAAATCAGCAAGCCTCACGCTGACTGTAGCGTGCAAGCAGTGAACTGAGTGTGTTTGGCTTTCAGGATAACATCAGGCAGTCCGCACAGCTCCGGGTTCAGGAATTGAGCTTGTACCGCTTTGGGTTGAAGCACCCGGCCTTCCAAAGGGAATCTGTGGTTAGGGAATGCATCCGGATTGCAGTTTTGGCGTAGCCGCGAACCAAAGGTCTGAAGGGCTTCCTCGTAGAGGCCATTTGATTATGCTGCAAGCCCCAGACTTTATTCACCATGCCCTTTCATAGGCAGCTTGAGTATACGTCGCCCGGTGGATGCATTTTTGTAGGACAGTTTCCTAAATCTCCAAGCACTGATTTCCCGAATCTTGCAGAGCTCCTGGGCATCTGAAAGAAGACATGGAGGAGAGATCCTGAGAGTCATTGGCTGGGGCTTGTCATCATGTAGGGGGGTGAAAGCAGGCAGGAAGAACCTAGAATTGTTCTCAACCCATCTTTCCCTAGCTCCTCACATGAATGATGCAGGGCCCTAAACTTCCAATCCGTACATCCCCAAACCCCAAAACTATAAACCCCAGATCCCCAATGCCCGAAACTCTACTACTCTCAAAGACCCCACGCTGAGGCCCTTACAGCCAAGGGCGGGGAGACTGCAAAAGCTGCCCCTAAGGCCAGCGGCAAGGCGGAACGTGACGACCGTATGAAGGGCTAGTCTAATCATTGGGAGCTTGGGTTTAGAGTAGAGACCCCAGGCATGTATGATGAGTCCTAGGTACTTTGAACAGTAACAGACTTTCTTCATGTGGGTTTGCCAGGAGGATTGTTGGGGGTTCATCAGGATGCGTGAATATTTGCATGGGTGTGGTTCAACCCTAAACCCTAAACCCTAAACCCTAGGGGTTTCTACTGTAGGCCAGAGTTGAAAGGATCCAAGTTGTGCCTATGCCTCCAGGGACGTTCATCGTCAGCGGGCACAACCTTCTGTGGGCAAAAGAGGGGGTTAGGAGGTTAACTTTAGGTATACTGACACGTAGAACCCAGCACCATCCCTACGGAATCTCTACTAACCCACAATTTTTTTAAAATGATCCGTGCATGCTGCTTCCAGCTATCCGGCTGCCATGTTGGACAACCTTAGATCCGAACCCCAAGACCCTAAATCCTAAACCCTTAACCCCAAACCCTATAAACCCTAACCCCTAAACAGTTTCAATCTTTCGGCTCCTAGCCCCGGAAGGCCGGCTCTCTGGACTCCAAGGCATCATTACATGACAAGTGCTTAGGTTGAGGGCTTCAAGTTGTTTAAAGGGGTTTTAAAGCCTTTAAAGCGGTTTCAAGGGTTTAAGGGGGCTTAAGGGATTTTAAGGGGTTTGAGGGTTGAAAGGCTTCATTGGGTTTAGGGTGTTTTAGGGGTCAAAGGGGTTAGGGTTCACTATCTAGAAAGGCCGTTTGTTGCTTTGGATTGAGATCTTCGGTGCCTGAGTCTAGGAGGTAGGTCTTGGTGTGTTGGGGCAAGTGGGTGGGGTTCAGGCATTTATAGCTTGCGGGCTAGGATTTTGGCCGTTGCAGCTCGAGTGAGAGAGAGCAGGAAACTAGAGTTCTTGTCACCAACAAATCGTCAGTCCAAACTCCATTTCAAGGTAGATGTGCTCGACATTCCCCCCATACGATCTCCAAAATGGTCATCCCTCTAAGACTGAAGTAAGATTGCATCTTCCAGCAACTGTAGTCCTTAGCGAGGGTCCCCAGAAATATAATATTTTCCCAAAAGAAGGGGACCTTAATATAGATTCCGAAATACTATAATCCTTATTCTGGGGGCCCACGAAATGGTGCCCGTCTCTCGGGAAACCACAACATGACGTGCCTTTCCAAAGGGATGGAAGGATGGCTCAGATGCGAAGAATCCTGCCTGCGCCTAGGCGTATCACTTAATTCAATCTAACCGAAATCATGACCTCCCTAAACCCTCAACCCTAAACCCTGAACCCCAAACCCTAGTGGTTCTTGGGTTGTACTTGCCCTAGGCCTCCAGGGATGAAATCCTATGCTGAAGTCAGCGCTATGTCAGTATTAATTGGATACTGCCCCGGCCCAGAAATGATCGGACGGCCTTTATAATATGAGTATACATAGCCCTTAAGAGCAGTCCCATTACAGACTCTTACTGGGTGGGGGTAGTACCGATAGTAGCATAAGTTGCAAACCATATTACAGTAGGTAGCCTTTCGGCAACCCCTACCTCACTACACGCCTACCCGGAGACACCCAAAATCCACAACCTTAGCAGCTTCGGAGGAGGGGGTGCTGCAAGCACTGCAAGAGATGAAGAGCCAGCAGGATCCGATCCGCCTTCAGTGCTTAGTGTTCACCACTCGCACCACTCGAAGAGGTTGTGTTCAGCTAGCTTCTAGGCCTTCCATGCTTTGGAGCTTCTGTGGTCGTGGTTTGGACCCTAGCCAAGCGATCATAATACAGTCCCGCACGACAGTGCCCTTGCAGATACTGGAGTTGTAGAGGATCTGGGCTATGAGATGGGAATCCGCTTATGGGGCGGATTTGAAGCGATCCTTGTTACTTACTGGTGCTCACGGGTATAGGGATTCAATTCTAGGCCCCAGGGGTGTTTAAAGCTGTGCGCATGCCAAAAAGGCTCAGCCTGCAAAGAGCATTTCAAAGGGACCTAAATCATTCTAGTACGGGTCACTATAGTGGTTCGTATTATAGTACGAGTCCCTATATGATTTTCTGTACTTCGGGAACAGTAATTTAGGCCACGTCTCATCTGATCTCCTATCAGTTCACACCCCATTCCCCTAATACGCCCCTCCACTGATGATTACTTGCTTGCTTGTTTGCTAACATTCTCCTCCTTCGAGGCATTCTATTGCCAAGATGTAATTATGCGCTGATGGGCATGAAAGGGTTGATCCCAACAAGTACAGAAGGGTTTGCAGTTGCGAGTACAGCAGATTTCTTCCTGATCCTGCATATCGCACGAGGGAATTTATCTCCTTGGTGTATCCAACAAGTTGCTGACTTGGCTCTATTCATGAGGAGACTTTGACGCATGTTCTCAGAATGTGAACGGTGCCCGAAAGCTTGTTATCAGCACTGCGTAGTTGTTCCTGGTATCCTGTAGAACCAGTACGTACACCACAGACTACACTAACCCCTGTTTGACATCGGCGTATCTCGCCATGCTCCGCCCGGTTGCAGTGGGTTTGCGCGGCCTTAGTCGGTACGCGGCGCCACGCAGTACCCGCTGGAGCTCGGTAAGGCAGTGAGGACTTTTTTTCTTGGACCATTGGAAGGTTCATGAAGGGGTTTAACATAAAACACATAAGGGAGCCATGACGCTGAGGGCGTAAAGGAAGACAGGCACATCTTCGCTTGTTGCTGTAAGGTTGACGTGATTTGGGAACACGGAGGCTGCCTTTTAATTTGGATTAGGAGTTCCCGCTTTAGGGTTCCTACCTGCCAACTTCGTGAGGTGGAGGCAGAACCTAGCTTGGAGACATAGCCATATCTAAACTTGAGGCGTTCTAGAGGCTCCTCGGAGGGCAGAGGACCGTGAGCAGAGTCCTGCCTGAGCACTGCTTGCTGTAGCATTGAGGAGATACTCAAGCCCCACACAGAAAGCTGCCGCAACCACACGGATCTAGGGAGTTTAAGGCCGTGCAAGTCATCATCCTCACGCTTGTGGGTCTTATGTCTACGCTTCTATTATTTCTGATCATTTTGGCGTTAGAACGCGCAGTTCGCAGCTCACCGGGACGGGATTTGTGAAGAGCCCCGAGAAGGTCGCAGAACTGCAGCTTGGCAATGGGCATTCTGTTCGCGGGCTGAGTGTAGGGCTTAGGGTAACAAGGCTTTTTTGGGTTAAGGATCTGTGCAGTCTGTGCTACTTGTCTACAAGGGTGTAATGCTGCTTGGGCTTGGGGCTCAGGTTACCAGTACTATAGCAACCTCATTACAAACCTTATGAGAGAGCCACGCATGTTTGCTGAGATATTTTTTGTAAGGAGCCGACTGATTTGTCAGTTTCAAAAACCACGTCAGCAGCGATGCGCTGCAGTGCCCAACATGGAATAAGATTCTATCCTCCTTTCAATCGTTGTGCTTCAGGGGGAGAATATCGCTTGTATCTTACGTGCTTCAACGACCCGAAAGCACTAAGCCTAAGATTGTATTTCTGGATAGTATAGCAGCTTCCCTTTTTGCATACCCTACTAAATACCCCTATTCACATTACCATAGCTGCCTAACACTGAGTCAAGTTAGCATGCCGTCTTTGGAGTCGTGCCAAGTTTTTCGTTGGGTTTTGTTCAGCAGTTTTTGCTTGTCTTCCGGCACCCCGCAGCCAAGGTATGGTTCCTGGGGAAGTGAGAACTACGACGCAGACGTGCCTCGCCGAGGATTGCGGCGGCCAAATTTGTCTGAAGAACCTGTCATCCCCTAGTTCACACTCCAAGATACGAAGTATGGCCTTCCGCCGCCCCCTCATTTAAAGAAAATTCATTACACACAAAATCAACATGCGCCGTAGAAGGACTGCCTAGCCTTATCCTCCGGATGACACAAATGCTGAAAGTTTCCAGTTTGCCGTTTGCAGCAGCAAGCTGTCTTAGTCACCTGGGGCTGTTGAAGCTCCATGCAGTCTGGTTTTGGATGCGGTGCTGGGCTAAACATGCGAAAAAGTCCCCTGCTAGCACTACTTCCATTCGTTCTACCACATGATATTCAGACCATCATTGGTGTCGATGCAGCTGTAGGTCAGGCTGCCTCACACCCTTCATTAGTGCAGTGATAGGGGTTAAATGTCATGATTTCTGGAATCTTGTTGGCGCTTCTGCCGTACGGGCACTTCTGACTTCTGGCTATCAGAGCTCGTGCGCAATCACAAAATCCGCATCCCTAGATCCCCAAACCTGAGCCTTACCTTACGACCCAAACATCACGAACCCAACCACCTCAACTCCGTGAAGTAGAGATGGCCGTGACCTCACCTGACCTGAACCGAGTTATAAAGAGTTCGGGGCTATACCGGGGTTACACTATATGGGGCTTGATATATAGTGGTTGACGATGCAATTATCATCCATGGGATGGCTTGTTTCAATTGGGGCTAGGGTTTAGGGTTTAGGGGAGCCTTAATGACTATATACCCTATTACTATAATATTATTATGAATAAAATAATGGAAAAGACAATTAAAATGGAAACTATTATAGTAGTAGTTTCCATTTTCTTTTCCATTATCCTTAGAAGGTGGCACGTGTCCATTTGGAGCCTGCAAGGAAGTGCTTCTCAGGAACTCCTAAAGGTGAGGATCCTTCCAGATTCCCCTTGTAAGTTTTTTTTTTACACCTCTTGTGTCCCAAGGGATTTAGGGTTTAACATTTAGGTTTTAGGGTTAAGGGCTTCGGGTTTAAGCTTTAAGGGTTTAGGGTTTAGGGTGAGAAGCTACCCAGAAAGCAAAGGTCACAAAGTGGGGCTACAAGCTCCCGATGCTTGCCGTGGATTACACTCGGTCCGTGACCTCGCCAACCGTTTTTGAGGCTGACACGTAGCCCGCGGGCTGCTAGGTTTACCCCAAACACTAAACCCTAGACCCTGAACCCTAAACCCTTAGACCCTGAACCCTAAACCCTAAACCCTAGACCCTGAACCCTAAACCCAAGCCTAAAAGGGCCCGTGGTTTTAACCTGAAGGCCTTCATGTTTGCCACCTTTGAATGGAGTCAGCAAGAAGTTTTTGTTTTTGCGGTGGATTCAGCGTGCTGTGTGGTTTATGGCCTAGGGATGTTTAGGGTTTAGGGTTCTTAGTGCTGAGATCCCACGAGAGTGCCCGGCTTCAGATAGCAGGTTCCAGAAATAGGGGAACCCCAAAATAGACCCCAACATGCTGTAATCCTTATCATGAGGACCCCCATCATAAGGTAGCCTAATTCTGGGAAACCCCCAGATAGCCCGCTCGCATGAAGAAGGCAGAAGCTTTCCGGGATGCCCAGATCCCTTACAGCAGAAGCCCCTGAGCCCAAACCCTGAGACCCCCCAAAAGCCCTGACCACAAAACCTGAAAACCCTCAAGCCAGATGAGTCCTACCTAAGCCATAGACCCCTAAACCCCAAACCCGGTAAACTTCGGATATGAGCTGTAGTCTAAACTCCTTCAAGGGGTATTATACAGGGGATTATATAGGGTAGTATCATAAGGGTTATTAAGGGGGAGACAAGGAGTTTAAGCTATAGCTCACATCGCCCTCCATATTTCTCTGTATCCTAAGCCCTAGACCCTCTGCAACCCCCCGTATAGCCCCAAAAGCCCTCAGGGAAAGAAGATCCTGGATGCGGGGGCCGGCACCGGTCTACTGGCCCAAGGCTTGAAGGACCGCCACGGATGCACTGTAGGGGCCTAAATGGTAGTTTCCCAAAATCAGGGTACCCCAATGTAGACCCCAATATACTATAGTCCTTATTATGGGGACCCCCAAAAAGGTACCCCTAATTTTGGGAAACTACCAAATGAGCTATAGTTTACACTCCTTAAAGCCCCGGGGATCCTACGTTGGGCCCTGAAGTCTGTGAATATTACCTACATTGAGCTATTTGGATCCCGAGAAAAGGGGTTATATAGGGATTACATATGGGAGTATTATAGGGGGGTATTTCGGGTTTAGGGTTGCTTCCAGGGATGTGCTGTAGGGGCCTGAATATTTGTCAATATTATAGTCTTCCCTTCCTTGTGTAATTATGGCCTCGGGCACCTCAAGTTATGGCACCTTTGGGCTTAGGGGGTTTTGTGTTTGGTTCTTGGGATTGGGAGTCTAGAGTCTATGGTCTTGGGCTCAATTTAGAGCTTTCTTTACGTACCACTTTCTTTCCCAGTCACATGGGAGCAGAACAATAAACAGAACACGCGTCCTCTTCAACGCTCCGTTGGTTCTGAGTGCTCTGGGGCACTGGTTGAAAGGGTGTGACGTTGATTCGACCCCAAAACCGAACCACATCAAACATGCCTCATTCAGCCGGCCCCGCACGGATTCGAGAGGGTCCCTTCATTTGAAGGAGCGCGACATCAATCACTGGCTTCGGGCCGCAGGCTTTAGACCTCTGTGAGTTTAGAAATTCGCATTTTCGTCCTCGTCCTCGTCCTCGTCCTCCTCGTCCTCGTCGTCGTCGTCGTCGTCGTTGTTTCTTTTCAGGTTTTCAAGTTTTCTGGTTTGGTTGGTAGGTTCTTGTGAGCATGAGAGGATGCAGGTGTGAAGGACGCGACTGCCATTGACATCAGTACAGAGCTCCTCGCTGGCAAGCCTAAATTGAAAACCCCGAAAAGAGGTGAATTCAATCGTCAAACCCTAGAACCTAGCCTAACCTAGATCCTCAACCAGTCAAGTTGGTTGTGACTGCAAGGTTCAAAAGACAAGGTTGGGGGAGTCAGGGGTTCAGGCGAAGGGTTCTTTTACCACTGCGGGGGAAGGGAAGACTTCCAGGTTTCCTTTTATGGGTTGACCATTTCCGTAGAAAATGAAGCCAGGTTGAATGGTCTTGATGACCCAAAACGTTGCCCACGTGGTTTTGTCTGACTTGGTTTGGGATGTCAAGGGGGGGTACTTCTAGGGTTAGGGGGACTTTATCGACTGCCTTTCCCAGGATATGCGTGGAGGTTTGGGTTCTACTAAAAAGTCAAAGACAGGCTTATGTTAGGGTCCAAGATTCAAGTCGGTGAGCAGCATTGAGTTCTATCCCTTTGTGCTGTGGTTTGCCAGCAACCACCGAAATGTTGACACCTCCTCATAGCGATGAGATGTTAATTGATGTTCATTGAGTTTCAATTCCTGTTGATTAGATTTCCATGGTTTAGTTTAGATTTCAATAGGGTATGTATTCGATTTTAACTGGTTCTAATGTCTAAGAACTGATGTTAATAGGGTTTGGAGGCCAGGCCCTTTCTATTTTCTTCAAATTTAGGCTGCTCCATTCCTTAGGAATTCACTAGAAAGCCGCAGAAGGATCTCCTTTGACTGATTGGTTTTAGTAGGAGCCATAGGGCCCGCCCCCCAGACTCTCCAATTCGTTTTGTGGACTTATTATTTTTGAGCATTTCGGGTTGTGGCACAGAAGCGATTGAAGGGTTTTCCAAGGCCGTCTACTCAGCAAACAGGTGCACGTCGTAGCTTGGAGTCGAGAGGCTGATGTCTGAAATTCGGAGGTGAACACCATCTCTTTAAACCCTTAACAAAGCCATTGCAACCTGCAAGGCCTGCCGTCCGTACTGCCATCCCTTGCTGAAGAGCTGAGGCTCCTCTCCAAGGCCATGAAGTCTGGATTCTACTCCTGCTGCAAGGCAGGCCATGCGGCTGTACAGGGGATCCATGGGAAACCCCTCAAAAGGCCACTTCAAGAACGTTGCTACGCAGTTGATACAAGTGATTAAGAAGAAGTCCTCCAGTGGAATTCCCTGTTTGGGATTCCCTTGGGATCTGCTGTAGGAGTGTAATGTCCTCAAGTCCTCAACGTATTAGATCAATGGATCATGATAGCAATTACAACAATATTCACTGTAGCCAAAGCATCAATATAGAGCGGAAAATAGCTGATAGGCATAGCAAGAGGGAGAGTGCTCATGTCATAGACCCTCTGACCCCCAGAACAACTCCGAGAGCGTCTAGGCAAGCCTGCGCTGCCCAACTGCCTATGCTGAGATGAATGTAGATCCATGATTAATAACCCCCTCCTTTTGAGGGCCTTAATATTAGGACCCCTATTATAACCCCTTTTAAGGGGAGGGGGGTTATTCATTAGGGGTCTACATTATTGTGATGCAAACAAGTACCCACTGCCTATTCTAGGACTAGTTTGATACGAGACGGGAATTAACCAGGGACTACACCAGATGAGCATGAGGCATGCATGTTCACGTGTCCTTTTTACAAGGCCCATCTAGCTGTCCCATCACAGCACCCTCCCCCTTGGTTCGTTTGCTGACATTCTATACTGCTGGTGGCATATACCCTAAATACTTATCGCTAACACAGTCCATTCCTTGCGTAGGTACAGTATAGGGCATCTCACATATACGTCAAAGTGATATTGGTAATATTTAGGCCCCCAACGTGAAAGCAGCACCGAAAATCTAATGTATATGAGCTATAGTCTAAGCTCCTAGTATTTCCCTTAATAGCCCCAATCATACTCCCCTATATACAGTTAGAGTATACCTTGCCTATTTTCGGCTATTGGCACCACCTGCCCCACAAAAGATAAACATCAATCTTAAGAGAACTATTCTATTCCCAATACTCCTATCTACCTAGGTGCCAATAGTCAAAATAGGCAAGGGGTTCCTTGTAGAATTTGGTTTAGGGTTTAGGGTCTAGGTAGGGCTTAGAGATTAGGGCTTTGTGCCAACTCTGTTCATGTTTTCGGATCATGCTACATGTTGCTGGCCTGCTGGCCATTTGGCACAAGCTTCATGCGATTCTGCAATGATGGCTGGCCTTGCTGCATCACCACCCCTGGCAAATGCCGGGGTTAACGGCTGTCCGGGGGTAAACAGACCAGCTGTGCCTGTGGTGACAAATGCAGTGGTTGGACAAGAGAACCGCCGAAAACGAAAGCTTGAAGTCTCAAGTGACTCTGTAACAGACGCTGAGCTTGGTCAGGCAGTTGTCCGCGAGGTGACCGCAGCCCTCCAACTTGTTCCAGCTCCCGCAGCCGGTGGGGCTCCGCCTGCATGGGCGGCACCAATGGTAGCCAACGTCGCCACCTTGACAGCCAACGTCGCCACCTTGACAGCAAGCAACGCCAATCAGCGTCGCTGCAGCAGAAATGCAGCAGCAATTCGACGAGATGTCGATGGTGCAGGCCCGCAGCCAGTCGAGATGCTCTGCAAAGAGCTACCTGGATTTGGCGTGCTTCCAGCAGGGGCGCTGCCGCCGCCAGTCCTCGCCGCTCACTCGCCACATCCTGGACCGGCTGTCTTCCCGCCACCTGCGCTGCACCAGCCAGCAACAACCAGAATCAGCCTGACAGGTCAGCAGATCAGCTTCTTGCAGTGCTGGTACAATGACACATTCGGCATTGTAGCCGGTGACGCTGTTCGCGCCCAGCGCGGTGCTCAGCTTGAGACTCTGAACTTCCAAGTAAAGGGGGGGGCAATTGAGCTCCTGTAATGTTTTTGTGTTCTGCTGACAGCAAAGGCGCGACAAGCTGTTGAACTTCTTGGCTGGGCGCTGAATGCTCATGACTGACCTATTGCTTCACTTGCTGACGGCTGTCGTTTCACCTCAGTGTCTTTGAGTTAGCAGCCATTTGGCACAGCTCATGCACCAGCAAATGGTGGTAGTAAATAGTGTGTAAATAATAAGAGTAATGAGTGCACCACGCTGGACAGGGTGGAGATGATCAATGCTATTCCAATTCGGCTCCATGTTGGCAATGCTGCAATGTCAATTGGATCTCGGAGCGCAATCAGTGCAGATGTGAGAAAAGCGGAGTGCAATGCCCAGCAAACTGCGGAAATGCGCTACATGTCTAAGCAAGACTTTCACAAGCTAAGTGCCGGTTTGCTGAGTGCGATGGCTTAGGCCCTTAGGCTGGCGCGAAACCCGCCTCTCAAATCCTGAACACAATTGTGCAGGTACTTTGACTCCAGTTCTTTTAATTTGGTTTCCTGTTTATACAGAGCTCATCACCGGCATCTAGTTCGGGATAGGCTCGGTTGTGTTTCGCACTCATATTCATATGTAGTTAGTGTGAGCTTCAAAGCATACGTAGGAATGAGTCCAGTTGCTGAATCTTTCACCTGCTTGTATGTTAGCAAGATTTTCTGAGTTCACTCAGCGGATTAAATGTTCTCTTTACCTTTTTCTGATCGGCCTCAGTCTCAACTCTGCAACGGCGCATATCTTCACCCTAAACCCCACACCCTAAACTGCTCTTTCGCTGAAATTTGGATATGCTCTTGGCTGGTGTGGTTTTCTAGAGGCACAGCACGTTCTTGAATGTTCTCTGAGGTTGCCATGCTTTCGCGTGGCAGCAAGGGCTGCTCATAACAAGGCATAGTCAACCCCCAGAATGGTTACCAGCCCCAGTTGGCGGGGGTGCCATCCCCAGTTGGAGGGGGTTACCAACCCTAGTTGAAGGGGGTTACTAACCCCAGTTGAAGGGGGTTGTCACGGAAAGTGATTGATCCATCCGAGTGCATTGTAAGTTTAGTCGTGGCGAACAGGAGGCTCATCCTTCACCAGTCCACGTAGGTAGGCAAACGCAAGGATCACTAGACCTTGTGGAAAACATCCGAAGCTTCTTTCCGTGTGCCTTAGTGCCCTATCCAACCCCTATTCCCACCTACTCCCACCTCCCCCTGCGCACGGAGAAACGACGCTGGTTCTACATGCATCCTCGTCCATGGCTTCTCTTCTATCTCTGCAAGTGCCTCGGTGAATATATAAAAACATTTTCAAAAAATAAAAACAATAAAAACAAAAATACAACAAAAAATAAGCCCAAAATTTTGAAACAGAACGGCTTCAAAACGATAAAAGCGCCAAAAACGCAACAAAAACATTGGAAAATCCTATACACAAACGAGCGAACAACAAAAAACATCAAAAACAATTTTCAAAATCAAGGGTAGTAAACTTTTTGGGTTTAGGACGCTCGGCATAGCCTCGCGTGACTGCGCGACGCATCAACCATAACATTATAAGATTAGTAATGTTATGCTTGTTTACTCCATTTTGTCAAACTCAGGTTTATTCAATAGGGTTCTAATGATTTGGTTAAAAGCATACACTGTAGCACTTACATTATATTTTATTTTGTATTGTATCCATGTTTTTATTTCTTCTTTGTCTCTACAATACATCATTGTATCAAATAACTTTTTAAACATATTGTATCTCTTCATGGTTATATTTGTAATCACATGCTTCACTGTATCATATAACGGGAATATTTGATCCAAGCTGAAAATAAGCTTATCAACATCGTATAAGCATAAAGCATTCATTTCTAGTGTTTCTTCTATGTCTTCCTCTTTTTCTTTCGTCTTTTCACAATCATAGCACTGATAAGTAAAGCCATAGATATTACTAATAATGTTTTCTGGTAGTGGCAATTCGTATAAAGTGCAATAACGATCATGTTTCTTACAATCCTTGCATTTACACTTACCCCGCTTTTCCCTACTTTCCCTGATGTAATCTCTAACCTTGATAACATCCAAAAAGTTATTTATTATTTCATCCTGTTCTTTCTGATTGAACATTTCCCTATTAATATATATAGGTGTTATTTCTTTAAGTGTTTTCTTAAGAAAATGTTTATCAAAAGAAAAACTAAACTTTTAACAACTCAAAGCGTAAATACGCTCTATTGTTACCTTCAACATAATAATATTTCTGACCCAGTTTTTCATCAATTCTTTCTATGGTATAAACATTTTGCGACCAATTTGATACACGTTCTTTTTCATTGGGTTTCCTTTTCCTAAATATTTTAACTTTATCTCCGACACCTAGATCAGGATAGACCC